CGTCATGCATATTCGATTTTTAACCTTTGAGAAATGTGTGTAAGAAAATGCAAGGTCGAGTTTGTTGTAAGCTGAAATATGATATAACAGTTACATCTACCTTGTTACTAATGAATACAGTTTCCTTACATAATCAAAACTTTTCAATTTACTTTTTGCATAAACATAATTAACTCGCAACACTGTGTCCGACGTGTTTCTAACTATGTCGTTATAACAAGTCAACATGTCATGCTCAGTAGCACAAAAAATTTCGTAATAATTAACGACATTTATGCTGCATAACGACACAATGTGTCGTAATATCGATTTTGCCATGTTGGTGTAATGACATGTATGGCTCGGCGTCCAAAAAAAGCAACCTATAACTAATATTTTATTTGACTTAACAGACCTGTAATACATTTGTAATGGTGATGGATGCATTATCTTATTTGGATTTCATCTTATAAACGAGAGATAAACTAATGTGATTGTGAAATATGTTCCATCGCTCATTACATGGGCATTTCACGTATATGTCTGATCATATGTAATCCCGCGCTTGCTTTAGTTGCTTGCTAAATTTTGTATTAATCCGTGAGATCTCCAATTTACTTCTCGTCATAACGACACAGTATGTATTTATAGCACCCAGAAATTCGGAATTGTACGTCGTGAAATCTGAGAGTCTGACTTGTAAAAAGTCCATGCATTAACTATATATGTACTTTAGTAGGTGTTGTCAGGACCTCTAGACCCCAAAATCCACATCTGGAGGGAGCTTTTTTTTATTTAAGGATTGATTGGTTGTTGTTTGCTTAACCTCCAGTGGCAAATTTTCATGCAAGTTCAGGACGAGAACAAATCAAAATTTAATACAATAAGTTGGTCCTGTAATGGGGGTCGACCGGGTGAAGGGCGAGAACTATGTAATATCACTGGAAAATGAGGGTATTTTAGATAATCACAGGAATTTAGCCTTGCAACATTCCACCTTCAGACCCCTCATATGGGTTGTTGCAAGAGTTCTTAACTTGCAGAGAGCGTGGCACTCTAGCTATCTCAACACAAGGCATCGGATTTGACGACCCCATTCCGACCGGTTCCAATGAATTTATTGCATTGTTTACACTATTTAAACATGTGACATTGTTGAAAACAAAATACTATGTGGACTATGTAATTACTTGTATGACATTTTATACCGAAACGTGTGCATGCAAATTTTCAATATTTGAATTGTTTGTTATTAAGTCGTTGTTCTTACCTAATCGTGTCTTTGAGCTAATACCACAATGATTATGTACACATATGTATATAAAGATAAAGATAAAGATATTTTATTTTTCCCTATTATTAGGTCCCTAAGGGGGGCATATACCTATAACAAATATAATCCTTTGCATCATACAATATTTATACATGACATTCATATAATAAACCTAAATATTGATAAAGAGTCATACAGTCTATTAGATGCTAAATAAATATATATATATTAGGGTTGCTACTCCAGAGTTGTGGAAAATGTCCACTCACTTGATTGTATCTGCAGCTATTTCTATTTTATCTTTTCAGTTTTTATATTTGCTGGAAATGTCTATATGTTTGATTGCTTAGCTGCAACAGGTACCAAGGGACGATGTTCTAGGATTGTGAATTTGAGTTAAGATTGATCAAATTAGGGAAACTTTTAGTTATTTCTTGAAATAGATGAATGCGATCAACATCAAATTTTACACATTGAAATAGAAAATTATATTCATCCTCCACATCTCCAGAGTTACAACGAATACAAGTTCTGTCATTTAGGACAGTACCCTGATACCTTCCGGACTCACTTCTTAAACGAGAAGGGAAAGATATCAAAGGGACATTCAAACTCATAAGTCGGAAATAAACTGAAAACGCCATGGCAAAAAAAAAGAAAAAGAGCAAAAGACAAACAACAGTTAACAAAACACAATATAGAAAAATAAAGATTGAGCAACACGAAACCCACTTAAAACTTGGGTGATCTCAGGTTCTCCGGAAGAGTAGGCAGATCCTGTTCCACATTGGGAACCCGTCGTATTAAGTTTGAATTTCTGCGCTTTGTTAAACTTCCTCTCTGTTCAAATATCCTTATAATGGAAAGATATATTTCTCATCCAAAACTTGATTTACATGTAACATAAGTTCTAAGTTTATCATCTAAATACTTTATCCGTTTGTGCCATAAATCTATAAAAAATGATTTAAATTTTTTTTATATAAGTTTTAAAGCTATTAATTTTTGTGTATATAAAGTAAGGATGTCAACGAGTACTCGAGTATTCGAGTATCGCTCGGTAGTACCGAGTATCGAATACTAAAACGATACTCGACTAATCGGTTTCCTGTTAGAATATTGCTGTTTTCTTAATATCAAATTGATCTTCTAGAGATCCTCTTTCGGAAAATTAAATAGGCATCACTGATTAATCATACTAGTAAATAACATACATTTTGTTTCGAATGCTTGTGCTAAATTGTCATTTAAAATGCCTCCAAAAATACGTGGGCGCTATACCTAGGCTAACACTTTAAACTAATTAACATGTCTTTGCCATTCCGTCACATCGGTACCGTCAGAGCAAATATTTTCGTCAGCAAGACTGCTATTTACAAAGTTGCAAAACCGACTGTACCCAATAATAGTTGACAAGAAAATGTTTCCAAATAAAATAGATTCGTTGCATCCTCTGATGACCCTCAGTGAATAGTAAAATCATTACGCCTTTGCAAACATTAAATGTGTTTTCTTAACGATTACCAAATACTATTGTTTGATATGGTCTTTCCTTGTTATAATTTTTAAATAGGTGTTCATTAAATTATGTTGATTAGATTATTGTTTTTACTTAATTAGTATTTGTAGGTAATGAACTATTAATTATGGTGTGTAATTCCTTGTCCCAGATACTTCTGTACTTTTAGATACTTTTAGATACTTTTCGTCCGTTGAACAACAAACCATGATAGAATATAAAGTATTTGTGTGTTTCCGTGTTGTAGATATATTCCCGAGCGAGTAATCGAGTATCGCTCGATGAAACCAACGAATACTCGATTAGTAATTGTTCACCGAGTTGACATCCCTAATATAAAGCTATTTGATTGATGTCTGTGATGATTTCAAGAACTGACTTAATAGAGTCATACCTATATTCAATATTATTTATGAAAAGAGGATCATGCGTTTTATCATTATATTTTAGAAATCCCCCCCATTCCAGAAGCACATTTAAATGGAACATTGGTTTTGAAAATTTTGACATGACACATTCAAAGTAAGTTTACACAGCATATAAAAGTTTTATTATAGAAATATGAGACAAACAAAATTCTATTATCTTACCAAGACCTCTTTGTTTGAACTTGCCAAATAACATTACAATGTAGCTTTGATTGCAATTTGTTAAGTCGATCTCAGATATATTGTATTTTATAATAAGTTTATCAGATACTAGTATTGATGATCGAGAGAATAAAAATACAATTTCAATGGAAAATAGTATAATAACAGATCAACTTACTGTTTGGAGTTCTGATGATGATCACTCCTCAATGAGATTCATTCATAACCACGCCCACGTCCTCGCCCCTGGTTTTGTCTCTGTCCCAATTTACTTTGGGATCTTGTAGGTGGGAGACGTATATGCAACACAATGTACATTGCTCTTTTGATGTTGCTGGAAAGTATTGATATTCCTTTTTCATTTAATTGAATTTTATCCTCGCAGAGCAGATTGTCATGAACATTTTCATTTATGAGCAATTTGGTATGGTCGGCGAAGTAAATATTGTCGACTCCACTGAAATTTTGGTTGAGTAGATGATTAATTATCTGAGCATTTGTATTTTTTTTTAATTGTCTCTCCTTGGAGTTGTAAATAAGATGATGCATTTAAGTAGTGGCCATTTAGCTGATAAAAATACTAGTTAAAAAATGTATTTTTCCTATATATCTTTGTAAATTTGGCGACAAAATTGACATTTACGTATCAAAATTACAAAAAAAACAAGAATTTTTTTTATTTCATATTTCAATTAAACTTTAACCAAAGTACAAGTGTGCCAAAAATTTCAGAAATCGGGAGATATGCCATTTGGTATCGTGTTACCTTAATACTTTGTTAATATAAGTACTCTGAACAGAGGAAACACAGGAAAAAAATTACAATGATAAAAAAAATTAGATACGCTAATATAACCGAGTCGAAATTGATAAACATGGTAGAAATATTTTCACTAATTTAAGCAACAACAAAAAATAATAATTTCCCGACCAATGGGGTCTTGACTTCGCATTCTTTTTCCATTTTAATAATTTTATGCTGATATTTTCATTTTTCATTTTTCTTTGAGGGTCCTGAAGACAAGTTGCAAATTTATCACTGATTAAAGAAAGAAAATTAACTACGATGACTAAAATATGATATTTTGGTTTTTGACTTAATTTTTCCTCGTCCGTAGTTCTACAGCAAATGACTTCGCATTCTTAAAATTCAATATTTAAAATTTTTTTGTTGATATTGGAATTTAATTCATTTTTTGGAATGCTGCACATGGATAATAAAAACAGCAAATAGAAAATAACAAATAACACATAGAAAAATAATTTTAAAAAAAATATCAGAAAACAAATTGAAAAAGAAAATATTGCCCCGAGATCTATGTTTATATGTGTATGGGCTGATTGATGTTTATATATACTGATTATTTATCGAAGATGAACATTGATTACCTCCCTTTTCCTTGGATATTTGATGGGTGGTTAACTTTTTCTAATTTACTTCATACAAACAACGTATATTGTTAAAATCAACATAGTAATAATTTATTATAACTATAATTTTTCAAATTTGTGATTAATGAAGGCAAATTTATAAAAGGGATGGAGTATTTGCAACACGTTCTCCTCGTTTAGTTCAATTTCAATACCATTGCAAAGAATTTATAATATTGATATAACAATTAGACTATCATTTAATACGTCACTCTGGTTTCTCTTCAAACCACGAATAAATCTTTCGCCTTTTACTAAAGATTTCCGTGGAGAGGAACAATTTAATGAGTCTATAGACAATTTTTCTCAACCCTGTTAACTCAGGGTGACATAATAAACAAATAGTAAACACAAACAACATGTCTAGAGTGACCTTATTGAAATTGATATCGATGTCCGCTCGAAAAAGAAATAACCATGCCCAGCAACAACAAAAATTATTAATTCAAGGTGAAAAAAATACCCCCCCAAAATATCAAATGGTCGTTACTTTATCATACGTTCCGATATCCAACTGACAAAACAATGGATATAACAATTGCCGGCCAACCTGACCTTTGACGGATTCGGCTGTTTTGTGGTGCTCTATTGATTTTGATGTTCATTAACTTTATGAATACGTATTTGTATAATAGTTTCAATTATCTTTGGGTCAATTTTCTGTCATAAATTATTACTAGCGACATGACTAAATAAAATTTTTCTCTGATTTTAAAACATTCTAATTTGCTGGTGACAATCTAACACGAGTGTTATAAGTGTGTTAAAGTTTCTTCCTAGCTTTCAATATAAACGTGAGCATAAAAAAAGCTTAAAATTTCATTATTTAACATAATTTTTCTGTGAAAAGTAACACAGTGTTTTAGATATAATTTAAAGCGGTACGACTTTTTGCTGAGGTAAGTCAATTGGGATTACAACTTAACTTATTTAGTACAGACAATAATCTTTCACTAAATCAAGTTTATTATAAAATTTGAATGGCTAGTCTTGTCAATGCAATCAGTTATGCTACAAATAGATAGTCATCTGATTGTGAAACGGGAGTAACATTTATGAAAATCAATTAATCTATTAAACAAAAAGTTTTATCGCTAAACACTGAAAGGCGTCAGGGAAAACTCCTCCCAATGGTGTGCACTGTCAAACATGTCGCTTTAAGACAAGTTTCAAGTATTGAACTGGTTATGGCGTTGCCTCATTTTGATAACCATCAAATTAGTCGACGTTATTTAAAGCAGCAGTAGATAAACATTAATATAATCCGCAGTTATTCACAAAGGCACATCTGTTAAAAGTTTTAAAAAGCAAAAATGTAGGTCAATTTTCTATAACGTGCAAATTAGAATCCATCGTTTAAAAAACAACTATACTTTTTATCAATTTAACATCGTGTGCGAAAGCCTTAAGGCCTAGAATTTATTCATGTTTGTCATGACTGTAAAATAACTTGACCATAGATAGAGAAGCAACTGATTTACTGTAACTTTTATAAGAATGCTCAAAATATGATATTACAAAATTAGTATTACAAGGTACTTCTGAAGGGATTTCTTATACTTATTACATTCACAATAGTTTACTCTATCCTTACATTCTCATTTCTATCATTTTCTTCATTCATCTCATTATCATCAAATGGGTATGAAATGCATCATGTCTGTTTCTCTCGTTGCCTACTTCTGTATTATCCCATAAGCGTAAAAGAAATATACATATTCCTTTAGAAGCGACATAATTTTGTACTTTAGGGATATCCGAGTTGTCTTTCATCTAGTGGTAAATCTTGTGATGTTTAAACAGCCTTGCGGGCACCTGTTTAGCTGTTCGATTTAGGATTGTTTGTTTCTAGGCCTCACCAACATTTTTTTTTATATTTCTGGTCTTTATAACATTTGTTATCGAAATACCTGATGAAACAGGTTGCAGGGCAGGCGCGGATTGAGATAGGATGCACCGGCGAACGCCCCTATACAAAGAAGAAGAAAATCACCGGTTACGTTCAAGTTCTCTTAATAACTTGTTACAGATATCGAGGAAATAAATTCCCCAAAATCATGGTTTTGCCATGGTCATTTCTTACATCTGAAGACAAAATATAGCCATGCCTGCAGAAGTTTCCTTAGTCTGAAAAATATCTTAAACGCCACATTTATCTCCTTCGGATAAGACCTAAAATATTGTTTGGTTTATGAGTCCTCCCCCTTTTTCCCTATTTCCCCTTTGATCAACTTTTAAAAAAGACAAATATTTTGAAGACAAACATAGTTCAGCGTCATAAAAATAAATACAACTTTAAAAGTTAGGGACCACTATTTTCCGTATTTTCCTTGTTAGCAGAACCCCTCTATTAAGAAAATCATGACATAAAACGCAAAATATCTATTTGATCATCCAAACAAGTAATGTTCTATTTATTTCGATAGTTTTACGGACTTCATCATGATGTGGAATATCTGTCACAGATGAAGGATATATGTAATTGGCAGTAGCAGCTGCCCTTCTTTTTTCCTCGATTGTGAATTGCAGAATGCGGCATCACCGGGTTATTAAATTACACGATCATCACCAGTAGAGCAGGAACTTTACCTTTTCGGAGCACCTGAGTTCATCTCTAGTTTAATTAAAAAATGTTCTATGTTGCTTATGTTTTGTGCTGTTAAATTTTTGAATATCTGTATCTATTCTGTTTCTTCTAGTAACAGTCCTGTCTGTCCTTTGTACTGGAAAAGAGCAGTTTTTTTAGACTTTCAAATCATGTCAAGTTTTAAGTTTTTTAAGTTTTAACTTCAAGGGCACCCAAGTTCAGCCCCAGTTTTTAATGGGATTCGTGCTGCTCAACCTTAGTTTTCTGTAATTTATTTCATGGAGTATGTTTTCTTTTTATCTGGTCAAATTGTTTTGTTTTCTCCAACTATTTTTTTGCCGACTTTGTACTTTCTCCCCTTTATATGTGAAATTTAACATGAATTTAATTTATTTATTTAATACAATGCTTCTAAAACATGCATTATTATGTTCAAAAATATAAAGAATGAAAACATAATTGTTCTTATCAATTATACACTGTTTAAAGAGGCAAAACATAATTTTTCATATAAATTATACACAGTATAAAGAGGCAACACCACATTGGTCATATTAATTATACACTGTATAAAGAGGAAACACATAATATGTCATATCAATTAGACAAAAAATAATTGATCATATAAATTATACCCTGTATATAAAGGCAATACATAATTGGTCATATCAATTAGACATTGTATGAAAAGACATACATTGTTAATACATACATAGTTAATAATCTCAATTCCACACTGAGATTCAAATGTTATTTACTAATCATGACTTATACCAGACGATTTTCGCACATTTGTCAATTTAAGCTTTTCCATAGTAGGCCTATAATAAATTGTATAAAGCGGCAACACAGAATTGGTCAAATCTATTATACACTGTATAAAGCGGCAACACAGAATTGGTCATGCATAGATATTCATCTCACTTCTACATCGAGATTCAATCCTACATGTTTTTTTTTTATATTATTCAGATTCGCATATTCAGTGCAATGATATATTTTAAAATTTGAATCGATATTAAATAGATAACAATACAACCAGGTTTATATAGGCTCAAAACAAGCAGGATTATTTTTTTTATATATGTTTGAAAGGGGACAAGTCGATACCCCACTGAACACGTTTGTGCTTTGGAAGGGTTTACAGTTGAAACGTTGAATACCTAAAGTCGCTAAAAAAACAAAAGTATTTCCTAAGTTTAGGAATCATAACGAGTTAATGAAAATGTTGATTAAAAAATCTCAAACCTTTAATATATGCGTTAACAAAAAGCACAGAGATTTTCATCTTGCTCACCAAGTACATACATAAGTTATTTTTCGCTTAAATGTAATGAGCATTAATAGGGGTACATTCATCTGTACTATGATCCTGTTGCAGTATATGGTCATTATCAGATGTATTTGGTGGTATATCAACTGCCGTATGACCATTTCCTAGATTGTTTCTGGATTTTTCGTACAACAATTTTATGTCAACACTGTCTTGAACATTAGCACTTTCATCGGCATTTTTTTCAGCAACATCACTGTATTCGCTTATAATTTCTTTCGAATGACATACATGATTTTGAAATATTTTAACCGATATGTCAACGTCAGGATGCAGTTCATCATTCCATATGCTAAATGAAGGATCTTTGAGATTCTCTAATGATACCACAACTACCTCTTTTGTTGGAATTCTCCAGTTGTTTAAGATCAACGTAAAAACTGCTGCCAGGAGAAATAAAACACCTAGAACATATAAAACAATATGCATGTAACTTTGTTAATAACGAAAGTTATTTCCATCAAATTCATGACCCTTCATAATCTTTCAATATTATTCATACTGCCCGTGTGATAAAAAAGTTTCTCTGTTGATTCCGTTTTCCTGAAAAACAACACACGACTGATACACATTCGGCAATATAAAGACAAAAATACTACATATGTTGTACACTGATGGCATATTTTAAGTATTGTCTTTGTTCAAAAGTCTCCATCATGGAAAGGCGTAAATTTGGTTTTCAAGAAGCTGCATTGCATCGTTACGATTTATACTTTTTAACGTCCAAAGGCAACAGGCAGTCCTTATAAATGTTTGATGACTGTGTTTTTATACACACTTAAATAAAATTTAAATGTTTTCTAATTTTTATAAAAACAAATGAAAATTTGTAGTGAATAAAAAGTACAAATATGTTAACAGAGAAAGCAGTGCGTAGTGGTAATGAACTGTAAATGAACGGTGTCGCAAATGTGTGTTAGAATTTACTTATACAACTTGTACGTGTTCAATTTAAACTGAAAATCGAAAAAAGTATCCTTACTTTTTTATCAATTTTCATTTGGTCGAATAAGAGTTGCTAAAACAGATGCACGTTTGTATAGATGCACATTTGTATCGGTTAACATGTTCTCAAATACCTTATGAATTCTCATTCTTCCCAAACCAGAACATGTATTTTTCTTTACTATTGACATATAAATTCCATTTTAGTTATGCAAGATAACTATGGTATTACAGAATTCGTTTTTTTTAAATACCCCATTCACAGTTGAGATCTGGATGAACAATAATCCGAAAATTTTATAATTTCCAAAGTTATCATAACGAAGTAAAACCGTGAATGGGTTTTTATTACATTTATTACTGTCATTGATAAAGCAATGAAGGGCCATAGAGTCTGAACTGTAAGTGAAGATTGTCAATATTGAACTTGACCTCAATTTTGTGATAAGGAACTACATATTATTATTTAAAATGCTTCGGTTGATAGTTCATAAATAATTGCACGGAAATGGCATAATTAAAGTGCCATTTTCCGATCAATCCAAAACCACAATTCCTAAATAGCAAATGTTAAAATCGTCAATATCGAACTTGACCTCTATTTTGTAAACAGTAACATTATAATTCAATGTTGAAACGCAGTTGATGAACGGTACATAAGTTATTGCACGGAAACGACATAAAGTGGCGTGTTTCTATCAATAAAGGACCATAACTTCTGAACTACAAAAGTGAGAATCGTCTTTTTCTAACTTGTCCTCCATTTGTCATCAGTCACAACATATTAAATTTTGAAAAGTATTGGTTGGACGGTTTAGAAGTTTTTTACACGGAAATAATTGGAGCCGCCCGCCCGTCGTAGAACAATCTTAAATCAATAACTGGATTTCCATCGGAAAAAACAGTTAATAACTATTCGGTGACCCTATGACTATTATTATATATTTTTAGTAACAACGTATAAATTCTAAAGACAATTTGTAGATTGGTTTTGTAAATGATAAATTTATAAACGTTCTTCACTGATTTTACTTGAATTCTTTTCAAATAGATATTTCATCTAAGAACTTTTATTCCATTATGTACCAGAAAATAAGAGGAAAAGATTTTTCTTTAAATTTGCGTTCAAATTCAACATGTTTAATTTGTTAATACTATTTGCAACACCACCCATTTACTGTCAGTGCAGTTGACTATTGAATCAATATGTCTGTATACAATATTTTATATATTATATCATAGAAGATGGTTATAAGCCCAATAATTAGCATTTATATATACTTTTACGTTTCATGAATCTCACGAATGAAATAAGACTTCAACATCATATTAATCAACTATTACTTTTATACATGATATTATGTGTTTGTTCACATTTTAAATTCGACACCATATTTTCTCTCATAAAACAAGCTTACTTATCCCCTAGCTCCCCAACCAACACCACCAAATATATCTAAATGATTTCTTCATATCAACAAAGACAATAAAATTTACAAAAAGAAAAAAGAAAATAATCTAGGTGTCTGCACTTACCAATAATTTAACGCAACTGCTTTTATTCCGTCAAATACCTTTTCATATATTCATGTGTATATATATAATAAGCAACTATACAATACTAATTTTTCAAAACATGTCAAATTGTATACTTACAAAATATATAACTATAGATGTAATAACTGTTATGAAATAGAGTTTCATTACAGTTAAATAGTTATCAAACAAATCTTGACATCAGAGTTTTTATAACTTCTTTTTTAAAGTTATCCGGAAGTGTGCTACAAAAATAAATCAAATGTTAAAAATTAGATTCTTTGGGTGTTTTGTCTCTTTCTTCATACTGCTGGCTGGCTGTATTGTCTGAAAGAAACCAAACAAAAACTTAAACATTAAACTGGTGTATTAAACAGTGTTTCAATTATCTTGCATTACCATGTTTGAAATTCACTAATTCCAATGCTGATCAAGATTTTATAATTCCAAAAATCTTTAATAAATTACCCAAAAACATTTCCAGAATAAATGGAAAAGGAACATGTATAATGCAGTATAACTTTTTTTACAAACTGAAATATACAAAACTACCACAAAACAGTAGTCACTTACCACACAATATAAAACTATCTTCGTATGTACCACCATTGTCAACGACAAATCCTTAAAAACAAAAAAAATAAGATTCTTTTAATTGCCGAGAATACTTTATAAAAGCGTCGTTTTAAAATAGCAATTAAACTATGAATATGGATACTACCATAAGAACATAAAACATCAATATGTATCAAAAGAAAATAAAGAACATACACATGTCACGAGTTCTACGATAGAAGTTAGAATTGGCGGAATTGAGTATGTTTCACAGCGAATGTTTGGTGAACTCATAGAAAAATACTCGTTATAATAAGCATTAAGAACAAACAAGCTAAGTAATTGTCCGGTCGCCAACAAGTTTCTGCGTTTTAGAAAAGTATTACTGCATTACTAACCTGCAATTGGAGGCCCTATGATATATCCAACTCCACCAATGAAATACATTGTTCCTATGCCACTGGACAGCTTGGATACACCAATTAATTCCATGCATAGTGGGTTAATCATTGTTGTCAAACCACCAGAATATAAACCAAAGAGTAGTGTGAAAATTGTTTGACCTTGGAATGTACCGGAATATAGAGGAAATAGTATTGTCAACAAACCTACTATTCCATTAAATCCAAAATTAAGCATAACTGGATCTAGACCATTATGGCCAACTGAAAGCCCTGTTATGATTCTACCGAAGACGGAACTAATTCCTATGTATGTTATTAGTAATGCCGCATTTTCTTTGCTGGAGCCTTGCAAAACTGCATAATTTGTTAAGTGTAATAGCAAAATGGAGAATGGTACATTCCAAAGTAGATACTGAAGGCTGCAAAACATAAATGATATATCTGATAAAATGTCGAAATGGAGGAGATTCTTTAAATTGTATGAGATATTGTTATTGCTCTTTGAAGTCAACATATCCATGTCACGTTTCCTTTTCATGTCCTTTTTGTGCTTGTTTTCAAGGTCGGAGGGACGCATTAATGTTCCAATTACGATTTGATTACTGGAGAGAGCACCTAAGACTAGAAATGCACCCGGAAGTCCATACTGGTTAATTAATGCTTGTAAAAGAGGACCTGCAATAAACATGCCAATTCCTGCACCGCTTACTACAACAGCTAATGCTAGTCCACGCTTAAGATGGAAGAAATATCCAATCACTACAAGTGGAGGCGTTGCACACAAACCTAAACCTGTCCCTGAAAAAAGTGAAGGATGTCATTATGGGGACAAAACAATATATATATATAATAATAGAGAAATAAAGTTGCAGATTTCTCAAGAAAATACTTGGTTCAACCTGAAACAGATATGATTTAGATTGTAAAGATTGTTCTCGCATTTGTCAGTTTCATCTTACTTTGTAAATTTTATTGGCAAAAGCACTACCTATGCATTTTTGAATGTCCAAAATTCCAAAATACGCCATTATCAAAATGGAATCGTAAACAAAATTCAAAATGTACAAAACATATTTATTCATTTTTTTAAACGTTGGCATGAACTTGCCCAATCATCACACGTTAGAAAGGATATTTAACAAAAAAAGTAAATACTTTCAAAACTAAACATAAATGTTATTAGTTCGAATCCCGGCCAGGGAAGAACAAAAAATTTGCTTCCGCAAATTTACTGATCTAACATTGTTGGGCTGTTATTTAGACGAATTATATATATATATATATATTATTATAAATATATATTCCGTGCATGTGAACTTTTTTTCTTACCTATATATATATATATATTATATTTAAAGATCCAAGCTATTTTCGTATAATTTGTATACCTGCTATAATTCCATAGGTTATTAGTATGTAATTCAAATTGTGAGAGGTGAAAAAGCTTGAGACAAATCCAATGAACATTACAATGCCTCCAACTATCATCGTTATTCGACAACTATAAATATTTATGAGCATACTGGCTAATGGTCCTGAAACAGAAAACAGTGTGTCAATGTATAAAAAGACATATATTTAGAATATTCAATCTAATTTTTTATTAAAATGGAAACACTCATCTAAGATTGAAGGCTAATAATTTGGTACGGCAGACGCGCGTTGTTTCTTTAACATTAGACTCATCAGTGGCGCTTACATCAAAATAGTTTGAAGGACTAATCAAATACGAAGTTAAATAGCATTAAAATTTTATGCCAATTCAAAAGTGATGACGACTGAGTTTGTGATATCTGCCTTATAAAAACTAAGGTTTTTTTCTTAATTGACCTGTTGAGGCTATATTTGAATTCATGTAATATATGCAAATGTTTAAATATACTTGATATGATATTCTCAATATGAATTAAAAATTTCCTGTTGCTACAAAATGTTACGCATAAGTGTCTATGGGTGTTAGTGAATGGATGGTATATCGTTTCAGTTGAATGTAAATGTTAAGTCTGGAACTTCTAAATGAATTGTCGAAACAATACATAATGTACTTCAATCCAGAAAAAAAATATGCTTTTCACAATTTAGAAATTCCAGACCTATTGTTTATAAATGTTTTACCATTAAAACTTGATGTTAGCAAATTTTATTTTATACAATATAAGCACTAATGATTAAGTATGAAGTACCTATGAGAGAGAGGAGACTTGTAAATATAGAGCCAATCAGTGCTGTGTATGCATTGTCTTCCTCAAACCTCTGGAGTAGAGCCACATGGACAACACCAGCTCCGTAGATAAGTAGTCCGTTTATGATACCAGCAACACATGCTGCTACCATAATCACCCACGCCCATCCTTGATCTAAATCTTTGTTCTTCTCTACGTTGTATTTTGGATTCATTACAGCTACAAGAATAAAGCATTTAAAGGCAATGTGTGATACAGGGCTAAGAGAGAACAATTGTAGGGGTATATATATATACATATGAGAGAGAGAGAGAGAGAGAGAGAGAGAGAGAGAGAGAGAGAGAGAAAAAACTATATGCATTTGATACCAATTTTTAGGCGCAATGACACGTGTTTTTGGAATAACCGTTATCAGACAAGAATTTAAATTTTGTCAAAGTATATCAACATACATACTCATTTCCATAAACCTGTGAACAGTTGTAAACATTGTTATGACTCTTGTTCAAAGGATAAGTTATTGTGAGCATTAATGAAAACTTTAGTCAATTAGTTCGTTTTTATAGAGATGAGTGTCCGTTAGTTCAGTCGACCATTCTCTTAATAGTTCAAAATTATCGAGAAAATGTTTTGACGAGCCTACGTCTTTGGTAAAAATGTCGTCATACATATTCGATTTTAAACCTTTCAGAATTTCTGTAGGAAAATGCAAGTTCGATTTTGCTGTGAGCTCAAATATGTTATAACAATTATATCTACAGTGTTACAAATATAACTCACGACATGTTCTGAAGTCGAAACTTGGCCAACGTGTTTCAAACTATGCAATATGTTATTCTCAGTAGCACAAAAACATTCAAATAATGTCATAATAAAATGTGTCGTAATATCGATTTGCTATTTTGAGATAATGACATGTATGGCAACGTATATAACTAATATTATAGTTTTGAAGGTTTTGACTTTACAGACCTATAATGCATTTGTTATGGTGATTGAACATGTTTTACATATAGATTATTTTTAGTTGGATTTTACCTTATAAACGGGAGGTAAACTACAGTGACTAGTAAATATATTCCATCGCTAATTACAAGGTCATTTCACGTATATATTTGAGCATATGCATTTCCGCGTGTATGCTAAATTTTGTATAAATACTTGAGATCTCCAACTAACTTCCCATTATAACGACTAAGTATGTCTTTATACACCCCCCCCCCCCTTCCCTTCCCAGCTTGACATGTTAATTAATTGATTGATTTATCGTTGTTGTTTTCCGACCAAGTACGAAAAAAAACAAGACAACCTAAGAAGTGTGATTTGTAAAAAGTCTATGCATTAACAATATATATACCTCAATAAGAGGGGTCAGGCTATTGAGGGTCTTTTTTGTTAGAATTGATTGATTGATTGTTGTTTGGTTAACCTCTAGTGGCAAATATTGCATGTATGCTAAGGTCGAGAACAAGATTGAAATCAACATTTTATAAAATAGGGGGAAGGATGAAGGACAGGCAATATGGAATGCCACTGGAAAATTAGGATAAACTGGATGGGGACAGGGATTTAGCCTTGTAACAGACCACCTATGGACCCCATTTCTATACCCCAGTCAACTCTGGTACTCTCCTAACACTGGCCTATCGAAACAACTACCCTTCATGCGGGAAGGGGTGTTAGTCTTAAACCGGAGAAATTGTGTTGAATTTCAGTACTACATGGTTTCCTTGTTTATTTTCATACATGTAATACTGATAAAAGATATAGGCTATCAACAAGGGTCAATACAAGTCTTGATTTATAATGCAATGCACTGATTCAACAGTTTAAATATTAAAAAAAATGGGCTTATAATTCTTTTATCAAAACTCTTATCATAATTTAAATACAGAAGAAACGGTTCCGAGCTATTTATTGCATTGTTGACATTATTTAAACACGACTTGTGACGTTGTTGAAACCAATTCTAATATGACGTCCTTATTTCGCCTTGTAAAGAGGGGGCAAGAGGTTTAACTGTTATGCTGTTATGGGGCAATTTAATTCTTTGTTATCTGTTATTCTGAAATTGTATTTGCTGTTAGCTGTTATTGTCATATTCCTTGTTAGCTGTTATAGGACTATTATCTTTTTTGTTATCTGTTATTGTGAGAATGTATTTGCTGTTAACTGTTATTGAAAATTGGAATGTTAGCTTTTTGACAGCCAATATTCGGTAGAAAATGAAAATCATTGTACATTGGGGTCTTACAACTGGTAATATGGTGGTCTCTTATTCTGAGAAGCATTCCAGTAATGTACACATCACAGACCATCACTTAAACATATTAAAATCAGTCGTGTCCAGGACTATTCCAGTATATCTTATTATAATCCTTTGTGATAAATTCATTTTCTTTGACTCAATGTATGATGATAATTTTATGTTATGGAATACTGTTTTCATCATTTGATGGTGAACATTTTAAAAAAACTCACACGGCGTGCTTGTAATTTGAATAATGTGCGTATTCTTAAAAAAGAATCACAGAGCTGAGTCTGTGTTCTTTATTATATAAAAGGTGTTTCGGTTAAGTCCGTATGGACCTAGGCCTATCCTCATCAGGTATCCATGTTTTCCTTTTTGTAATATAAAGAATTGTTCGAATTTGATTTTTATCGAGCCTGCAACTTTTGCCGCAAAAGCGATTCTACATTCCGTTGGCGGCGGCGTCCACAAATATTTACTCTGTGGTTTGAGTTTTTGAAATTTTAATAACTTTCTTAAACTATCCTGGATTTCTACCAAACTTGGACATAAGCTTGTTTATGATCATAAGATAGTATCTAGAAGGACATTTTGTAAAAAAAAATCTTGTTTATCTGTATTTCACTTATAAAATGACTTAGTTTTTCTGCCAGTTAACATTACTTTCACTCTGTGGTTAAAGTTTTAAATATTTTGATAACTTGGACAGAAGCTTGTTTATGATCATAAGATAGTATCTAGAAGGGCATTTTGTAAAAATAAGTCTTGTTTATCCGTATTTCACTTATAAAATGACTTAGTTTTTCTGCCAGTTAACATTACATTCACTCTGTGGTTAAATTTTTCATAATTTTTTCCCCATTTTCGTTGAGCCAGCTGCGACTAACAGCAAAAGTAGGCGAGACACTGGGTTCCGCCGAACTCGTACGAATTTTTACATATGTCATGTATATGGGGATAATATTACCTGTATCCCAATACGTAAATATTAGATTCAAACAATTCTTAATTCACTGTTATCTGTTCTTATGCCCTTTCAATTCCTTGTTATCAGTTTTAAGCCAAATCAATTTGCTGTTTTGCTGTTATTGGATCCCCCCTTGCCCCCCTCTGTAAACAAAGCCGTGTTCTAATTAGCACAAAATATGTTTGACATATGCTATGGAACGCCACAGCTGTCTTATGTGAAACTCTGATATTACTTTATGTTGTTTTATTATTACTTGATGATATTTTGTCTTTACTTAATATGGTTTTGACATTACGTAATGATGTTTTGATATAACTCAATATGGAATAGTCATTACTTAATGATATATCGATATTACACGATATGGTTTCGTATTGACTTGATATAGTTTTGTCATTACTCAATATGGTTTTGTCATGACTCGATGTGGTTTCACCATTATTTAATGTGGTTGTGTCATTAGTCAATGTGGTTTTAACATTACTTGATGTGAATGTGACTTAACGTTATGTAGTTGTTTCATTACATGATGTGGTTTTGTTATTTCGTAATGGTGATTTGCCTATTCTTTATATGGTTTTAACATTACGCAATGATGTTTCAAAATTTGACGATTTTACACTATATGATGTGTTTGTTTCATTATCTGATGTGGTCCTGTCATTCTTTGATGTGGTTATCCCATTACTTGATGAGGTAAAACCATGTGACCAATTCGGAAAAAAATATGTTCTATTTTTAAACAGATTTCAATATATCATTTGTTTAATGTGCTTCGGATGGGAATCGCTATCCATTGAGTTAAAGTTCGAGTGGTTGTTCAGAGTTATTTGGTATGAAAAAGGACAATAATAAGAAAAAAAGTATTAAAAAGTTTACAGTATTTCGGACATAATTGGGATATCCCAAACCACTTGGTCCTGTTGTTTTCATCCTAAGTTCTCAAACGGAAGCAGTATTTTTGTAATAAATTTGTAAAATATTCCACGGAACCCTGTGTCTCGCCTGATATTGCTGCTGTAAGTGTAAAAGCGTCATGTTGATCGGCTGTACATTTATCACCACATTTATCGGGAAAAAAAAAATAAAAAAAAAAAGGTTTTTCTGTAGATGCTTTTTCTTGAAATTGAGGAATAACTCCTATACAAGTTTTAAAACACTTCATGGAGGTTTACAAATTTATCATGTCAAAACAGTTAAATTTGGTTTTATTTAACTAAAACAAAACTGTATGGTTTTCAACAATGAGCAAAACCCATACCCTATAGTAAGCTATAAAAGGTCCCGAAATGAAAAATGTAAAAACCTAGAAACCTAACGATCTATAGATAGATAGATAGATACTTTATTCTCTAAAAACTAAATACAAGTTTACAGAGAAACATACAATATAAATACAGATACAATAGTCGAGGTAAACAAATCCAGTATGATATTCTAAAAGTAATATACATGGCATACATGTTTAGTAACATGTATAATGAAAGGTTAAACTCAATAGAAATTTAAAAAATGGAGATGGAGACGCCGACGCCATTATCGACGACGGAATATAGGTTTTTTGTGTCTCACTGCCGCTACATTGATGTCGCAGGCTCGACACAAATCAAAAGACTTGAACTTTATTGTTAACAAATGAAACACTTCAAATCAACTCACACTAAAGTTACAGGGAAACGGGGGAGGGGGGCTCGGACTAAGCGACAAAGCATCAATACTATAAAATAAGAATTCTCCGAATTTTTTTTAGCGTAAATGATCATTTGAACTTATACGAATATCAATCTTTTATTTGTAATCAATTGAATTCCCTGATCTACCTCGCACTAATTGAAAAATAAACTTTTTGGAATATCTGTTTCATATGTGACGACGGACATGTTCCAGTGGTCGTAACCATAAAACCGTCATCTTTTCCTTGAATGTAAACTACCAAATAAAACCAAATCACTGGGTTTGTACTTTCTCGAAAAACACGACGGGTGCCTTTCTGGAGCATCCGAGATCACCCCGATGGATTTATATTACCCAGTCATACCGATCTATTGAAACAGCCAAATGAAACTGTTCTGTATGCCACCGCAACTGAAAGTTGGGGGGGGAGCATATTGTTTTACCCCCGTCCGTCCGTCCGTCTGTCCGTCCCATTATGGGTATATAGTTATTCCGCATAACTCCTCCTACAGTTTGAATCCTAGGAAGTTTTCTCTTTACTGTCTGTTTGTACATATATTGAAGGTGTTCATGTGGTCAGGGTTTTTTTTGCTCTTTTGGGAGATAATTGAACTTTTTTTTGTCATTTTTGGGGTATAAGCGGTTAAATGAGTTGAGTGCGGGGGCATCACTTTGTCTAGTTTACATTTTTTTCTCGTGTTGTGCTGTTACACAACTGTAACAGTCCGATGTAAGGTTAGGATTTAGCGCTCACATACATGTTAAACTCCGCCACGTGCAATTTCTTTATGTACCTGCCCCAAGTCAGGACGTGAAGTTCAATTGTTGTCGTATAAATGTGTGTTATTTTTTTTTTGTAGATTGTTTATTTATAAATAAGACCGTTTGTTTTTTCGTTTGAATTTATTCACATGTTGCATGGTGGCCTTTTGTAGCTGACTATACGGTGTGTTGAAGGCTGTACGGTTGCCTATATATGATTTCTTACATCCACTGCATTTAAACTCTGATGGATAGTTGTCTCATTGTCAATCACACCACATCTAACTTTATTTCAACTTCTATGTTGCGTTTTGTATACTGTAACAGTGTTTATCTTTTGTACGCATACCCCGGGGCCCTCTTTTCGGAAGCCCGAGCAAAAGTCCTTGTTCCGCGATAGAAAATTTAATTACGAACTCATGTAAGATAGCTCGAATTTCAACTCAAAATCTTAATTAATCTAAATGAGACTTAAATTCGAATCTTACTCAAACTCTACCTCAAAAAGTGACTCAAATTTAATGTTGTAACTAGAACTCTACCTCAGTTAAATGTGACTCAAACTCGAAGTCCAACTCGAGACTCAATGCTAACTAAAACTTTAATTCTAATAATGACTTGAATTCGAAATCGAAGACTAACTCAAAGTTTAACTCAAACAGTAACCCGAACTTTAATTTGAACTCTAATTCGATGGATGGCCACACTTATCCAAGGCACATACAACATGGAAATCTATCTAAAAATAGAACAGGTTTTTCCGAATTGGTCACGTGATTTTACCTCATCAAGTAATGGGATAACCACATCAAAGAATGACAGGACCACATCAAATAATGAAACAAACACATCATGTAGTGTAAAATCGTCAAATTTTGAAACATCATTACGTAATGTTAAAACCATATAAAGAATAGGCAAATCATCATTACGAAATAACAAAACCACATCATGTAATGAAACAACTACATAACGTTAAGTCACATTCACATCAAGTAATGTTAAAACCACATTGACTAATGACACAACCACATTAAATAATGGTGAAACCACATCGAGTAATGACAAAACCATATTGAGTAATGACAAAACTATATCAAGTCAATACGAAACCATATCGTGTAATATCGAAATATCATTAAGTAATGACTATTCCATATTGAGTTATATCAAAACATCATTACGTAATGTCAAAACCATATTAAGTAAAGACAAAATATCATCAAGTAATAATAAAACAACATAAAGTAATATCAGAGTTCCACATAAGACAGCTGTGGCGTTCCATAATATGCGCACAAACTTACTGTTTACATTCTCGTTATTTTCATTTTCAGCCTAATAAAATATCAATATTTTAGCTGCTTACATAAAATTTCTATCATATATTGTTATTAAAATATCATATATTACCCTACCATTAGTTTTTAAACTTATCAAATTTTAAAATATGACATACAGAACTCATGGGGAGAAAACGGGAACAGCCAAACATTCCTAAGGTATTTTCATACGCTTCGACCTAAAAGAATACTGTATTTGTCATATTAGAATCGAAATAATTCCTTCATGGCATGCTCTATGCTCATTTTAACATGGGTAGGCATTATATTTGTCGATATTTTACACAGCGTAAATACCATATGGATTATGTAATTATTCTTTGTATGACAGTTTTAGATGACACATTTGCATCCAAATGTGATAGGAATGTTACCCCTCTCAATAAAACTACTCGAAAGAGAGCACCAGGAGGATGGAAATAAAATGAGAAAAACAATAAGTTCCTGTCCTGGTATCGGCATTTCTCAAATTTGCGAGCTGTGGTTTCATATAGCATATATATAGATAGATATGTCAGTGATTGTTTCCTCTTTGCTACCTATGCCCATAAAATTGTCTTATATCGTTTTCTCTTGAATGATGATTTCACGAATATCTTATGTAATGATTTTCAAAAGAAAAAATCCAAATAATAAAAGTGTAAATAAACTATTTTTTGAAGGTCGACCAGTTTGTGTTTTATACACCATAAACGTGCTCATTAATTAATTATCAGATATTAAACAGATACAGCTTACATATGTGTATCTATGCATGGCTAATGAGGCCATGATCACTGTTGTTGTATATTAACGTCTGATCCACCAAATGATATGTGTGTTGAGTGTTATAAAGTCATTGATCTTACCTAATATTTCTTTTAGCGCAAACCACCATGATCACGACACACATATAAAAATATACCACGTGGTAATTGTATTTTAAACTATTGTATTGATATACATGTCGTTTCCGTTATAAAACATTATTGTATAAGGTCATTCGGGTTACTTTAAGTACGAAGTACCTGAATGGCCTTACATTCTAGATAAAAACCGCTTCCCTTCTTTTTTAATCTTCTAACCTTAACATTACTGTCCATGTTAAGTTTATATCACTAGAAACAGGCATCTTTTTAGTCTGACTTCTCTCACCCCAAACCCCTTCTGAAAATTAAAAAAATACTACTTAAAGACTATAAATGACGAAATTTAGACTGGAGTTGATTACTTAAGTCAAAGCGTCATGACCCCAAATAATCCCCCTCAGATAGCCTGCACGCATGCCTCCTTGTATAAATTAGTGCTCATCAGTGGATACTGAAATTGCCATTACGAGAGCATTTTCTAGTATATCGTAACAGTTGAAATGAGGGCAATAGGTTGGAGTGGATGTCAATGTAATGCCCCTGTAGTGGAAGGTGACTAATCAAGATTGGGAAATTGACAATAGAGAAACTGATAACACTAACGTTCGTCCTCGGCTTTCCTTTCTCTGCAGTATCTTAAATGTTGGATTCATTGAGACGTATTTAGATGTTAGCACTGAATGAAGAATTCTAAAATTATTTAACGAATTAGTCTCAATTATATATTCTGAAAGTGAGATAGAAGAATATTGGAAGGTATTTTTTCTTCTTGTCTTTAAAAATGTTTTGTGCAATTTTTTTTTATGAGCACAAGAAATGGACTGTTGCTTGGGATACATAATTAGTAATCACAAGAGAACTGTCTACCAGAATAGTAATCACAAGAGAACTGTCTGTCTACCAGAATAGTAATCTCACGAGAACTGTCTGTCTACCAGAATAGTAATCACAAGAGAACTGTTTGTCTACCAGAATAGTAATCACAAGAGAACTGTCTGTCTACCAGAATAGTAATCACAAGAGAACTGTTTACCAGAATAGTAATCACAAGAGAACTGTCTGTCTACCAGAACAGTAATCACAAGAGAACTGTCTACCAGAATAGAAATCACAAGAGAACTGTCTGTCTACCAGAATAGTAATCACAAGAGAACTGTCTGTCTACCAGAATAGTAATCACAAGAGAACTGTCTGTCTACCAGAATAGTAATCACAAGAGAACCGTCTACCAGAATAGTAATCACAAGAGAACTGTCTGTCTACCAGAATAGTAATCACAAGAGAACTGTCTGTCTACCAGAATAGTAATCACAAGAGAACCGTCTACCAGAATAGTAATCACAAGAGAACTGTCTGTCTACCAGAATAGTAATCACAAGAGAACTGTCTGTCTACCAGAAAAGTAATCCTCCATATACCGTGTCGATTAAAAACTTTGAATTTTAATAATTTGGACGTCGGTGTATTTGTTTAAAAAAAGGGGGGGAGGTACTTTAGAAAGTAATATTTTTCTTGAAATAGGACTTGGAATGTGAAGATTAAGGGACTTATCATTTTTTTAATTTTTTTATAAATTCATAGTGGGGGGATCAATTTTATCTCTAATGAAACATTTGTGAACTTTTGAATCTTCAAGTATATCCTACATATCATGTGTGTCAAAGGTAAGTGTTTTGCATGTTAAAATTTTTTAATTTTTTTTCTTCATTTTCCATCCCTATATCAAAATGGGTGGACGTTTGTTGACGTTTAGACTGAATTTGTGCTATCACAATTCGACTTAAGCAAATTCCTTGAACATGAAGAGAAAATGGGAAATCATTCGTATGGTTCGAATTAGACGATTTAAAAGATTTCAGCTTAAAGAAGGTGTGCGATAAAGTGCCTTAGAATATAGCAAAGTACTCTCGACCAATGAAATTGTAGAATTGGATGCCTCTTAATTGTGAAGAATGAATGTAAATCATGTTCTTAGTAAGGGATTATCCTATTATTTACAGTTCAAAACAAAGAGTTTCTATAAATGAGTTACAACTGCCCCGAAGCACATTTATCTGATTGAAAGGATTTATCACACAGTGATTGAAACTGACTAAAAGTTGAATTGTGAAACAAACAATAATCTCAAAATAAGTTGAAGTTTACTGGTGCAGTAAAATTGGTACCGTGAATTTTATTATGAAAATATTAATAACTTCAAATTACTATAAAATTAAACAATACCAAAGCAATGCAAAAAAAAGAAAAAAATCTTTCAGATAAAAAATAACCTAAATCTTTAGCTTTCCAAAACTTTGATTACATGATCAGCGGTTGGGGAGAATAGTTATTTCCAATACAATTATTCCGATAAAAAACAGGAATTAAATTTTAAACATATTAAAAACTTTTAAGGGCATTATTTTTGAGCATTTCCCTGACATAATGAAACAGTATTTTGATGTAAAAAGCCGGACCAAATTATTGGCTGTGAAATAAAATTTAGTTGTAACTCTAATGAATTAATTGATTTAAACTGTAAATAAAACAGGGTAATTCCTCACTAAAATATTACATGATTTGCATTCATACTCACAATCGGGAAACATACAATTCCTACCGTTTCTTTCTACTGTTGTGTCACCTAATATCTATAACGCATTTTTTTTTAAAAATATTTCCCAAATGATAAGAAAGTCCTCACATCACTAAAACTTATCCATAAATGACATGCCGAAAAAGGAAGTCATGCATTAATTATAAACATTGCACTGACAATGAAACTAATTCTTGAATAAATCATTTAAGGCCTTGAGCACTTTACAATATTCTTTGTAAGTTTGTAAGAGAATGATAATCCCTTACTTCATGATAAGTACTCGCTAACGCTCGTATTTATTCATGAAGAAAGGGATTATGTAATAGTTATACACCGAGAGATAGGTGTGTCTGGACAAGAAACCCCGTCGGCCGGAGGCCGGAGGGGTTTCTTATCCAGACACACCGTATCCCGAGGTGTATAACTAACTTACACCCCATTCTAAACCCTATATTTGTTAACATTGATTATTAAATGAAAACAAAAACCATAGCATATTTATTGATAATATCAAACCATGATTTATAAGAATATTTTTTATTACATGAAACCCCACTAGTAACCTTTCTTTGGTTATCTTCGTTCAAACTTTGACAAGTGAGTATATTTTACAAATGTCAATTGGTTTTGCATATTCCCGTTAAATCCATGTGCTAATATGGATCAGCAGGTCAAGGTTGACTGTTTCGTGTATTCTTATTACAAACAAAAAATTACATCATGCTCCTGGTATACAGTTGTCAATATGGACGGGTATAAGACGGACGACATTCTGTGGCAAGCGTTGGATTTGGTAGAAGAGACTAAAGATAAAGGCAATATTATAACCCAAAGTACTTACCTGTATCAGTCTAATAAAGGTAATCATAACTGTATTTTATATCTTATGATTTTATCAAAAACAAAAGCCCCCCCCCCCCCCCCCCCCCCCCTTCATCTCGAGAATAAACAAACATTCATATTCGAACATACTAAGGAATAGGTGTGTCTGCATTAGAAACCCGACTACCAGACACGCTCAACATACAATATTTAATATTGAGGAACTCCACTTTTTTTTTTTGGGGGGGGGGGGGGGGGGATCAGGGGCTGAGCCAGCCGGGGGTTCCCAACTCGAGAGAAAAGGGGGGGGGCAACCATTCAAATGCATTGATCTTTTAAATAAAAGTCGGGTCCAACCCGCGGAACCCCCAACCCCGGATCGGCCACTGGGTAACCGGGGGAGGGGGGTCTGGGAGCTAGAATTCCAATTCTTTTTTTAAAGACCAATGCTTTAGAATAGAGATCATATGACTGGGATAAAAAAAATTACCTTCAAGCAAAAAAATATTTAAAGGATTATTTTTGTATTCCATATAGATGCTTATTGGGATTTCCTAATATGTGTTTTTTTTAATATCATGAAACAATTTGAAGTGAACACTATAAGTAATTTCTTATGTTCATAATCAATTTCTATTGTTACGAATAACAATGGACTTTGTTTGCGGGATGTAGAAGCAGGGGTTTCTGGAAACCCCGCTCGTCACACCCTGTGGTCAAAATCCATTGTTTTTCGTAACAATAGATCTATTCAATTTACACTTGTTTCAGAAATAGAAACTATGAAGTATAACAATAGAACTGGGGTGTAAAATTCTCTTACATATACTATGAACTCACTGAATGCACGAGTGAGTCACTCTATTCATAAAAAGTGTCCGTATTGTTCTGTTTTTCTATAGCTCTGCTGGGGGCAAAGTCGTACAACTATGAAAGAATGAAAGAATTTGCCAAAAATGCTCATCTGTCTGTATTGAAGATGAAAATCCATGTTTTAACTTCAGGCTACTTAATGCTGTTGGAAAATTTATTCAAGTCAATATGAGTTAGATGTATTTATTTCTCATATAAATATATTATATACTTTAAACCAAGGGCTTTTTTAAAGTCTAATTGTATTGTAATTGTGTATTTAAATTCTATGTATCTATGCTAATCAATGTTCTTTTTCCTTATACGTGTATCCTCTATATGCCCCTTGTGGGCCCTTAACTGGTAATAAAATATATCTTATCTTATGATGACTGTTTTCATATGATGTGAATTCACTTTAGACTGACGAGTGCTAAGGACACTGTCCTCTAGTTCGATACCTATTGCTAAACTCATCGATCATATTTGAGACAGATTTAGATCAGTCTATAAATCCAATCACTAACTCACTATGTATCATCACCACCAGATATAGGTACCCTTGACCTGGTTATGTGTTCATTGTCTAAGAAAAACTACATTACTGTACATATACCAACATATAGGTACCCAAGTAGCTATACGCTGGTATTTGTACAGTAATGTTGTTTTTCTTAGACAATGAACAGAGAACCAGGCCAAGGGTACCTTTATCAAGAAAGAATTTGTACGTTTCCAGATAAACATTGTCAGAACGGCTTTGAGTGGGATCCCGTGTGTGGGATGGTGTTGAAGCTGGGGAAACTAGCTTTTGTATCTGTAGTCGACTGTTATTGTACTACAAGATACGAACTGGTATGATTCGATACCAATATACTTTGTATAAGATATTAATGGGTTTTAAATAACGAATTGGAATATATCACAGTTCATTCACATCCAAATCGGCAGTCCAATTCAATAAACGTAAACAAATTGGTAAAGTCCAAAATCATTTAATAGAGTCCAAATATAAAATAACAGTATTATACAAATCAGTAATTTTAAAACAAAAACAATTTATCTGCTTGCGTTGGAAAATCCGGACGCAGTACATGTGCTCTCGTTGGCATATCCAAACGGAGTCCGTGTGCTCTCGTTGGCATATCCAAACGGAGTCCTTTAATAAAAATTTATCTTTCTTTAAATACCAAATAGCGTTGCTAACAACAAAGTTAGTAATGGTCATTTTGTCAACAGAAATTAAATAACAGATTGATTCCGTTTATCAAAGAGAAATTATTTACACGCTTGTGTATTGAATCATAGATGTATAAACCCATCTATACATCTATGATTGAATTAAACATAATTGATCAAATAGAAATATTGAATAACCGTAAGATTTAAGTTCAATCTTGACCATAAGTATTGACAAATACAAATTTATAATCTAACATGTTTCAGGTGTAAACAAATATTTCGGACATTTAAATTCATTATGAATTTCGAGATCATTACTATTGAATAAATTAAATATGCCTGGTGAACACGAAACGTACACGTTAATAAACTGTAATAGAAATCAACATATTTAGATAGTTTTGAATATAAAATTTAGTATAAAAATAATGTGCAACACCTATATCCGGTGGTGATGATACATAGACAATAACTGTTTAGTGTCTTTAAATATCAGCTGTATTTGTACGAGGCTAAAAAACAGGTGTAATGCAAGCTTCAGCGAGCTATAACTCCTGCTTCGAGCCGAGTACAAATACAGCTGATATTTAAAGACACCAAACAGTTATTGTCTTTATCCTGCAATTAATCTTGTACATTTTTTTTCCATCCCAATCGTTGAATTTGTTTTTGAAAGAAATCGACATGCGCGGACCGCAATGAGAACCCAAAATTGAACTGAGACGTAAACAATAATTTGACATAACCGTTCGCTCGCAACAGAAGCAGGATACCAGGAGACTATATACGTGTTTGTTTGGTTATTTACTAATGAAAATTTGTCTGTACTTAAATATTTAGGGAACTATATTATTACATGTCGAGATGTTAGACGAAATATAAATTAATGTATGTAATAACAATGATAATTGTATTATGTAATGATTTTATGGTTCTGGTCCTGCCTGGAATTAACTGTATGTGATTTATATAGAATGGAGATTATAACATGTCTGAACTTTTTAATGTTTCATTTCAATGTATAAAAAAAAATGTTTTTCTGTTACAAACCATGATGTATTGTTTTGTGTGTACAGAAGATGCTTTATTTCCATCAAATGGGCACACAAGGAGCATAATATAATATCATTATAATATTATTTTTACAAATATAATAAACAATACAGTATACATAGTTACAAACACAAATAAGAAACAACAGTTTTCACATATTCGTATATATATAGGAGTATATATAAAACCTTCGTCTCAGGCACACCTCTAGAAAGTAACAAAAAAAAAGAATTCTGTGAGTAGGCTAAATATATCTAGCTTAACTGCAGGAGGCACCAAGGGACGGTGCTATATGGCATGGTGGTGCATATTAAAATGTGTATCGGGACATTAACATGATTAAAGATATGGTAAGATATTGTAAGAAGTTGCACATAACTGGTATGTCATCCTCGTGGATGGTGCAGAGGAGTCAGTACTATTAAAGTGACACAACTGCAAGAGGCAACAAGGGACAATGCTAATTGACATGCCAAAGTGCACATATTACGAAAAGATAAAATATTACCAGTTTAATCAAGAAATATCACAAACAGAAAGGTAATAGAACTTATACGATGTGTCCTGTTCCCCACCATGCCAACCTCGTGCCTAGTGCAGAAAGCCTGATTTAAATATTTATCTTTCAAGTTATATTTTGTCTTCATCAACTAACTCACAGACAGATATCAAGATATCAAGATTCTCTACATTGAGAAGCCATATCAGTTTTTGGCTAGGAATCAAATGCGTAAAGTTTGGGCATAGTGAGTTAATAGTGGAATTTAAACGATTTCTCTTATCGTGAGATGATGTACACGAAAATACAAATTTTTTTTCATCATCAACTTCATTTGAGGTGCACCTGAGACATATTCTGTCTTGTCGGAGAGTACCCTGATAGCGACCTTGTTCAATTCTTAGTCTGTGAGAAGAAATACGCAATCGAGTAAAATTTCTCCTCTGCTCAGGTGATTGTAATAAAGTAAGATATCTTTCAAGACCAAAATGAGTCTTAAAAGTGCTATAGCTACAAAGCTTCCCATCAGCACAATTGTGCATTTATTTTCTTCACTGTATTTCATAGTGCTGATAAAAAAAACTTTTTAAATTAAATTTTGAATCTAAAGTTGCTTGCAAAGGCTAGACTGTCAACCCCATTACTTTTTTTTGCAGATAGTTTAAAGATCCATACCAAGAGGGAATTTTTTATTCAAATAATAGCTTTGACTCTAAATATGCATCTTTTAGTAGTGGAAAGGATGAACCCAAATTTTCAAGCCGGTGCCAGTATCTGATCATAGATTTGGTGATATCAAAATGTAAAGGAAATTTCCCAAGTTCTGAAAGAGTGGCAAAGTTTGTTGCTCTTTTCCCCACACCTAGTAATAGTTTACAAAATTTCATATGTAATCTTCCAGAAAGATAGGATAGGCTTCATCAACTGTAGAAGTCTGAGAATCTAATTTTTTTTTGAAGGGATTAAAAAAGCCCCAAATTTCCGAACTATACAAAAGAATGGGTTTAATTGTATGATCAAATACGTGGAGGCTGTTTTTAATATTTGGATTCAGTGACAAGAAGTCCTTTCGTAGCTTGTAGTATGCTTTCAGTGCCTTGCAAGTATTGTACAATTCCTTCTGAGCAAAGGAAAAAGATCATGATGCACTAAATGTTATACCTAAATATTTACAATGTTGAACACAATCCATCAACATGTCATTAAAATAAAAATTATGTTTTATATGCCTGCCTGCCTTGTTAAATACCATCACCTTGGTTTTTTTAGATTAATTTTCATACACCAATCTTTACAATAATTATTTGATTGATCAAGTTTACACTGAAGCCCCTTTTCCGAGGAAGAAAAAATGACAATATCGTCAGCATATAATAAACAATGAACTGGCTTTGAGTTAACCAAGACTGGATCAGGTGACTTTTCAAGATAATCAGGGAGGTCATTTATGAAAATTTTAAACAATTTGGAATCAAATTATCTCCCAGTTTCACTCCCACCTTAGTTGGAAAAAGGTCTGTAACTCTATTCTTTAATCGAATACACGATTTACTCTCAGCATACATACTCTTAATTATATTATAAAAATTTGTACCCAGCCCGATGTTTAATAACTTGAGTTTTATACATGGGTGAATGACGGTGTCAAAGGCCTTCTGGAAATCAACAAAACAGGCAAACACTCTACCTTCTTTAGTATGACAGTACTTATCAATAATGGTCTTAAGTATGAACATATGGTCAGATGGTCGTGCTTTTTTTGTGAAACCAATTTGGCTATCTTTAATGATCTGATATTTATCTAAAAATTTGCAAAGACGGGTGTCAAGAATTTTATTAAAAAGCTTCCCCAAAGCATCAGTAATAGTTATTCATCTATAATAATGTACATGTCATCAGTGCTGCCCATCAAGGGTCCTTGATTGGAATACTAAATATTCTTATATCGCTTCGTGTTATCTGTACACCTGTATTAGTATAGTAGAAAGGTCGATTGCCCGGGTCGATTGCAGGATAAATAGTGTTACTGCTTTGATAAAATTTACAATACCGGCAACGTACACAACGCTATACAAATACAAGTAATTCTGGACATTGTTTACACATTAAACACACTATACAGAGATCGTTAATGTGGATTTATGTGTCTTTTTCAGTGCTTTGTCATTGTGAATGTATTATGTATTATAAATGAGTAATAACTTACTGTTCAAATAACTGCAGCTTAATCTCCATTTGTTTCAGTTTTAAAACGTAAAATTATTATTGATAATTACATTCTTTACCGTCATAATGCAGTTTCATTTTTTTTTCTATTAATATGAAATCGATGCCGGATCATGCCGTGTCACAATGCGCAGGCTTACTTAGTTTAATAATATTTTAACCTATAGCTGTGAAATGGAACCTATGGGAATGCAACCCGAGTATAAATCTCAATAACCGAAATTTATACCATAGATATCTATGGTATAATTTTCACAATTATACCATGGTTTTGTTGTATAGGGTCTTCGAGAAAAAGAAAGCAAGACCTGGCTGTCTGAATTTTTTGACATTTGAACAAGAGAGTCAGTGCGGGGCCACTAAGCTAAACTGCCCGCTTTGCACCAGCCGATATAAATGAATGCCTAGGGTGGGAATCGAACCCACGTACACCAACTCTGTTGTCCTATATTTTTAAATGAAAAAAAAATCGCTCCTAGAACAAACAAACAAACTAATAAAATTAAAAAAAAAATATAAATGTGTATATATTATACTGGAAAATATAAGTTGATTTTCGGTTATTGAGATTTATACTTGGAATGTATTCCATAGGCTTCACTTTACAGCTACATGTATAGATTTGAATTTGCCGAGACGGCTTTTTGGGGGAGGGCAGGGAGCAAGCCCCTTTTAAGGAGCTTCATATTTGGTAAATGCATAGACTTTTTCATTGTATTACTCCAAATGTTGGCTTGCTAGATCCCCCTTTCAGAATCCTGGACCCGCACCCGATGTAATATACATTGCTGACATCTAGACTTTAACGAGGTTACTCAAGTAATAACAATAATGTTGAAATGTTAAAATTAGATGGCGTCTGGTTTTTCTAAATGAAGCTTACTTTTTTATGTAAATTATTGCTAGTAAACAAGTGATTTTAATTATGAACATTTTGAAATCCGTTTTAATTTATGTACGACTTCGGCTTCAGGTACAAATTAAAATGTAGAATGATTCATCCAAACTCTCAAAAAGATTCTTGTGAAATTACTTTCCTCAGAATTATATATGAATATTAAAAAATTAAACTGTGTGACATTCAAACATTTTGATAAAATAAAAAAAACTAACCCTTTCCAGTTCAACTTTTAATCTGTGGTCTCTTGCGTCCATATCCAGAACATCTGATTCCTTTAACATTTGTTCGTCTGTAACGTTATCCGTCACCAATGTAAATGTGCATCCATCTCTGTTGAAACATCTCGTCTTACTGATTTTTCCGCTGTTTCAGAAGCCCGTGCTTATTTTAGAAAGTAGGCGGAGCTTTATGCGTAAGGCCCGATAAGGGTTATTTAACTGATTCTTATCAAAACTATTTTTAAAGTAAACAAACAAAAATATATGAAATACATGTATACAATTTTAAACAGCAAAAGATGCGATAGGTTAAAACAGATATTCCATATTTTTTGGATAATTTTGCGTTGTTTCGTAAATTATACCATAGTTTTTTGTTGAAACCCCTCGGCAACCTCACTCGACTTCGTCTCGTGAGGTTATTGCCAGGGGTTTCAACAAAAACTATGGTATAATTTACGAAACAACGCAAAATTATCCAAAAAATATGGAATATCTATAACTTATTGCCTGCTGAAAGTAAAGCAACGTTAGGTGAAAAGGAACAGCAACTTGTAGATAAATACTTAACGAAAAGGAATGAGTTCAAAGAGGTGAGTACACACTTTATGTGGGTACTTCATACTAAAATGACAGTATATTTGGTCAGCAATCACTTTTCGGATCTGTCAGATACTAACTTCCTGCTTGCGGATACATAGATATTTTTAATGTGTTGAAACTTTTGCAATTTTTTGTCACAACATTTTCAAGTAGTACTTACTCAAATGGATTCATATGTGCATGAATGTGTCAGATGGGTGTTACGTGTGAGCACTTAAACGATATGTAAACTATCTACATATATATCAGTTTGTGGAATAGACTTGAAAGATTTTGCACAACGTTTCGTAGTTACTTATGAACTGAATCACTTCATATATATATATATATATATATATTTGTTCAGCAGCTTAGCAGTCATGAGTAGTATAATTTGTAAAGGTATTCGGGCACATATCAATGTGTTTGCATTATTGTTGCATTGAAATGTAAATACACTTTCATTAAAGAAATATAACAAGAGCAGACAAGATATATACATCATTGGATTAAAACCAACATCCATCTTAAAACAAAGCAAAATACTAAACTACAGGTTGACTTCTACTTAATTGAGTTGTTTGAATCTTTGCACTAAACCGGATGGTACATATAGCCTTGACAGGAATGTATAGTGGGGTAAAAACCATATTTATTCAGAATTTTAATTATAACACATAATGTTTTTGGGGATTAATACAAGGATTTTACTGGTGAAATTTTTTTAAAGGGAAATGGGCAATAATAAATATTTCACAACTATATAAAATCAAATCTTATTTGAAGGTTTATACTAACCAAGTAGAACGTGGAGCTGCCAGAGGTACCCACCAGGACAGAAGGCGATACTCTGTCGGGAAAATGGTTTTGATCAAATTGACAGAGTTAAATGCAAAGCTCGGGAAAGTTATAAAACAAGATGGCGATATATTAACAGTGGAACAGTTCAAACAAGATGGAAACAAATGGATTCTAACAGGAGAAATTGAAAATTATGACATTTTCAATTGTTTTCCGGGGTCATTTGATCTGACGAAAAGTGGAAACCTACCACAAAGTGAAAAAGTCAGATTAGATTTGAATGGATTAAAAATTTAATCAAATATTGAAGATTTTGTCGTTTAAATATTATAGTTGTTTAATATGTATTATTATTTATTGATAATTTTGACATTTGTTAGTTGGATACAAAAAATACCGGTACTTTATCCCGGCCTTTTTAACCAATAGCAGTATATAACATTTTGGTTAAGTAGGTATTAGTTAACTCATTTCTGAAATATATAATTTCTAAATTATAATATATCCAAATAGTACATATATCAATATAGAATGATCCGTATATTTGAAGAGAACGAAATAAATGAATAATTTCGCAGACATTTGAAGTTATGGCAGCAGCAAAACATTCATAACATTGATGTTGATGTGAATAAGATAAAGAAATGTAAAGTGAGACTTTAGGTACTCAAAGTATAATTGTATTTTTAACTAACCAAATATTTTCATAGTTTAAGGGACAAATGGCGATGCAATTAAAGCGACAATGTTTTATGTTATTGAGATAAAACTAATGCACGAAGATAACATTTGAGGAGTGCTTTGTAATTTATCAAGAAAGTTGAGACCACATAGCATCTATAAAAATAGTACTTAAAGTAAGAAAAAGTGGTAATTTAAGGTAGCACTACAGTCAGACCTTTCTGACTCCATTCAGCAGTCTTTTAAAGATAAATTTCTCATAAATTACAGAATGGATTTTTATAATCTTTATCACACTTTAAAGCAGCTGAACTTTCTTAATCTAATGGTTTTTGTCGAGCCTGCGACTTTTGTCGCAGAAAGCTCGACATAGGGATAGCGATCCGGCGGCGGCGGCGGCGGCGGCTACGGCGGCGGCGGCGGCGGCGTTAGCTAACTTCTTAAAAGCTTTATATTTTAGAAGATGGAAGACCTGGATGCTTCATACTTTGTATATGGATGCCTCATGTTACGAAGTTTCCGTCAGTCACATGTCCAATGTCCTTGACCTCATTTTCATGGTTCAGTGACTACTTGAAAAAAAAGTTCAGATTTTTTGTAATGTTAAATTCTCTCTTATTATAAGTAATAGGATAACTATATTTGGTATGTGCATACCTTGCAAGGTCCTCATGCCTGTCAGACAGTTTTCACTTGACCTCGACCTCATTTCATGGATCAGTGAACAAGGTTAAGTTTTCGTGGTCAAGTCCATATCTCAGATACTATAAGCAATAGGTCTAGTATATTCAGTGTATGGAAGGACTGTAAGGTGTACATGTCCAACTGGCAGGTGTCATCTGACCTTGACCTCATTTGCATGGTTCAGTGGTTATAGTTAAGTTTTTGTGTTTTGGTCTGTTTTTCTTATACTGTATGCAATAGGTCTACTATATTTGGTGTATGGAATGATTGTAAGGTGTACATGTCTAGCTGGCAGGTGTCATCTGACCTTGACCTCATTTTCATGGTTCAGTGGTCAAAGTTAAGTTTTTGAGTTTTGGTCTTTCTTTCTAATACTGCATGCAATAGGTCAGCTATATTTGGTGTATGGAATGATTGTAAGGTGTACATGTCTAGCTGGCAGGTGTCATCTTACCTTGACCTCATTTTCATGGTTCAGTGGTCAAAGTTAAGTTTTTGAGTTTTGGTCTTTTTTTCTAATACTATATGCAATAGTTCAACTATATTTGGTGTATGGAAATATTTTATGATCTATATGTCAGTTACGCAGGTTTTATTTGACCTTGACCTCATTTTCAAGGTTCATTGCTCAGTGTTAAGTTTTTGTGTTTTCGTCTGTTTTTCTTAAACTATAAGCAATAGGTCAACTATATTTGTTGTATGGAAGAATTGTTAGCTGTACATGCCTGCCTAGCATGGTTCATCTGACCTTGACCTCATTTTCATGGTTCATTGGTCAATGTTTAGTTTACTTGGTTAATGTTAAGTTTATGTGACAGTTGTAATAAAGCTTTATATTTAGGACTATCAACATAATATCAATGATTAGTAAAGAAGGCGAGACATTTCAGCGTGTGCACTCTTGTTTTTTGGTAGGATCAATTTAAAAATATAGCCCATGAACTGCCAAATAACGGCGCTCCCAACTTGGAAAGCATATTTCATATCGTAGTAAAAATCTATTTTTATCCCTTTGATTGACCAAGCTACAAAATTGTGTCTCAGATTGTTTATATATGACTGCAATAAGAAGATATATTGATTCAACTGTTGGGTACCACACCTCATTTCACCTTTTTAATCTTTGGAGAACTATAAATTCATTCAAAAACAAAGTACCCTAAAACAGGGACACGGTTGTGTGGAAAATAATCCATTTAATCACATATATCACAACCAAACCAGAGGGGGCACCCATAGAGGTTCTATTTTTT